CATACTTTATAGAAAGTCGATACGGCTTTTGCCTGTATGTATCCCTCGAGTCGTCGTCTCTCCTCGTCCTCAGCTTTGAATGATGTACAACGCATGCGTCAAAATAAAGAAGAAGCTTAAAAGTACCAGAAAGAAAGAAGAAGCCTAGAGGTGAAGTCCGAAACATTAGCTAGTTCGGGAAACTTCTGGTAGAAAATCTGCCGTTACCTGAGCCAGCGAACGATTCCTCCAGTGGAAATGCATACTCAGTTAAATGAAGCAGCGTCAAATGCATCCCATTTCGGGAAATATTGCTCTTCAGCATGTGTTACTCCTTGGAAAAGAGATTCTATGTAAGTAGAACGCCTCTAAGTCCACATGAATGGGCGGCTTGGAGTACAGCAGAGACCACAGATTGATCACGCACAGAATGTATTCCATCTGTAATTTCAGAATAGTGGCAGAATATAGCCTACTACGGTATACGCTTAGGATCATACGCATGGTGAAGAGATGGCATTATGAAGTCCCATCGCAACGGAGAGCATTGCCTGAAGGTGACCCTACTCAACTGGCTGCGATTACTTCTAACCTGCTCACGCTTCTAGCGATGGAGAAATTGATAAGCAGTTAAAGTGAATGCACACTTGATGTTGCGGACAGCTGCCGTGGCTCCAGTGCCGCGGGGCCACCGATAGAAGATGATGACCCGAAGATGCTCGAAACTGACATCGTAATTAAACCCAGGGAAGAGCAGGCGCCCTCACACACCTCTTGCAGGAAAGCTCCTAGAATGTTCTACGAGTATAGCAATAATTACCCCTGTATACGAGATTTCAGCGAGAAATTTTTTTCGAACTTTTCTGGTGGTAATGGACCTGACCATTTTTTTATATTTTATATTTATATTTATATTTTATATTTATATGGCAGTGGCACAGAAGGCAGGCTCCCTCACAGGTCCGTAACCGTAAAGGTCTCTGGCAAACCGAACCGTAAGAAATTTTGCATTTTTCACACTCTTAACTTCAGTGAGTCTTGAAAAAACACCGTGTTAGCTTCAGAATCACTAAACGAGCATCCCGCATCTTTCTCCACTTTTACTTTCCAATGAAGAACTCGTTACCTCTGCCGGGAAATGAGGATCTTGTTTTTTCACTTTAAAGTGTACGTAGTGTGCAGTACAGGGGGGGGGCAAAAAAGTCACTTTGCCTCATTGACTTTCGAGGCGCTATAAATTACACTTTATCAAATTCTGATCGGACATTTTTACTACCATATTGAAGAGCATATTAAGTACTATCACGACACTCCGCCACAGCCTTCTGGACGAACGCCATCGAGAGATTCTGGCACACGACTTCTGGCGACCGCGATGTGGTACCTGAGATCAGCGGGGTAGTCT